TCGAACTCGGGACCTTGTGCTTTCGAGGCAGGCGCTGGAACCACTGAGCTAAATCCCCAGCCCTAAATGGTTTTAAGGGGCCTTTTTTTTCTACCTGATTAGTAAAGCTGTTCAATGGGCCAGGAATTTAGCTCAGTGGTTTCGCTTCCTGCCCTGCAAAGACAAGGACCTGAGTTCAATCCCTGGTATCAGAAAAAAGAAAAAAAAAAAGAACACACCTTACCCTCAAGGAAATACTTTTTTAAAATTGTTTATTGGTACATTTTAGGTGTACAATATGATGACATTCATCATGGGAATTTGTATCCTTACATGACGTATCTTGATTCTTATTTTTTTCCCCATTCCCCTGCCCTCCCTTCAACCCTTCCACCCCCTCTATTTACAAAGACTTTGTTTCCTTTTTTTTTTCTCATATTTTTTCCTTTCCCTTCTTTCCTTTCCCCTACTTCTCCCACTTCCTCCTCCCCTTTAGACCTTTTCTTCTTGTTTCACATTATCTATTATACATTTTGATTCTTATTTACACTTTCAGTTTCTCACACTAGAGAAACTATTCGGTATTTACACATGTGTGTCCCATTTATTTCACTTAAGAGTATGCCCTCAGTGTGCATCCATTTAGCTATATATGACTAGTTTCACATTCTTCGTGGCTGAGTAGTACTCCATTTTATTTTTTTAAAAACCACATTTTCTTTATGCAGTCTCCATTTGATGGGCAATTGGGCCATTTCCAAGTTTGAGCTATTACAAATTGCCACTATAAACATGGGTGCACGTGTATCATTGTGGTATGATTCTTTTAATTCTTTTGGGAAGAGACCCTGCATGGAAATAGCTGGGTGAAATGGGACCTCTAATCCTAGTATTTTGAGGTATCTCCATGTGTATCGCCATAGTGGTTGCACCAGTCTACACTGCCACCAGCGGTGGAAAAGAGTTCCTTTCTCCCCACAACCCCACCAGCATTTGTTATTGGTTGAGTTCTTGAAAGGAGCCATTCTTTCTGGAGTGAGATGGAATCTCAGTGTTGTTTTCATTTGCATCTCTTGAATGACCAGTGATGTTAAACATTTTCTCATATGTTTATTGCTGATTTTACTTCTTTGAGAAATGTCTGTTCATTTCAGGTGCCTATTTTTGGATTGGATCTTTAAATTTAGGAGGTCTGATTTTTTTAAGTTCTTTTTTTTATATTGTTTATTTATTGGTACATTTTAGGTATACAATATAGTTAGATTCATCATTGGGATCTTGTACCTTTACATGATGTATCTTTGTTCTTATTTTTTCCCCATTCCCCGGCTCTCACCCCCTCCACCCTTCCCTATTTACAAATAATGTTTCCTTTTTTTTTTGGTACCAGGGATTGAGCTCGGGTCCTTGTGCTTGCGAGGCAGGCAGCGGAACCACTGAGCTAAATCCTCAACCCCATTTGTTTCCATTTTTTTCCTTTTCTAATATTTTTTCTTTTCCCTTCTTTCCTTTCCCCTAACCCTCTGATTTCCTTTATTCCTTTAGACCT